GATCTCTGTACACTTTATTTTATTCGTTCTGGTCAATATAGTGTACACGCGGTGAGAGGCTCTTTTGATGGTGGCAGATGTGAGTTAGACACATCATGCGGTTGGGTGATTGACATTTTTATCCCTGCTAATTTGCCTCCCTCCTCCCCCCCTCCCTGGCCTTCCTTCCAATCGTTGGCAACTCGGTGTTGCCAGGCGGGCTTTTATGCTCCCTTCCCACTGTGCTGCCACCCAGGCGGAGCATGCTGCATCTGAGAGTTTATTGTCGGGAGTTGTTGATCTGGGCACACATATATATGTAGATAACACATTTCATGCACAGCTCCGCTGCAGAATCTTGCCGCTCTAATCTATCAGCTTCGCTGCCCTTGTACAGCTTCGCTGTTTAGGTTCTCTGTGTCCCGGCCTGCTCTCCAGGGTGCTCGAATCGGCCAGCGCAGACTCCGCGGGCCAGGTTGGCTCTTCACCGCCGGCGCCAGTCGCCGGGCGGGGAAGTCTCAAGCATCTACATTTCTGAACTCGGTCTGCTACCAGAGCTGGTCCGCGAAATTATTGACTTAAGTCGAGCTGCAGATCAGCCTCAGAGCTGTTCTGCTGTGCTATGCTACGCTATGCTATGCTGTGCAGTGCTGTGCTGTGCCTCGTAGAGCTCTTCGGCATCGATGAGCTAGAGGAATTCCGGCACGGGGCGCAGCTAGTTGGCCGACCCGGCCCAGGCCTGTGAGGGCGCGAAGGGTTTCAATGCTTTGACTTTCAAAGTGACTTTGACTTACTTTAGTTGAAAGGCAGAGTGAAAGTCGATGCCGAGACTTTGACTTTGACTTTCAAAGTGGGTTTCAAAGTGGGTTTCAAAGTCAAAGTGAAAGTCGACATCGAACCTTGACTGTCGGTTTCAAAGTCAAGGTGAAAGGTGACCTGGCCGGGGCCTGAGCCGGGGCCGGAGCGGGAGTCGCAGCCGAGGCCAGATCGCGGTGGTTTTCTTCTCCCGGCCGCGGCTGCGGCTGCGGTCGGGGCCGCGGCCGCGGCCGCGGCTGGGAGGGTCCCAGGTTGACGCGTTGTCCCCCTCGGCGAGGAAGGGCGCGAGACTTTCAAGATTCTAAAGTTTCAAGCGAATTTAAAGTTTAGACGAACGTCAAAGTGAAAGTCCAGAGCTCGCCCGGGCCCCCCCCCTCCCTCTCAGGCGCGTCCGCGGCCGCAGCCCCGACCGCGGCCGCGGCCCGGCAGGGGGGAGAATTTCGCCGCGACAAATTCGCGATAGCTTCCCCCTCTCAGCCGCGCCCGCAGCCGCAGCCCCGCCCGCGTCCGCGGCTGGAAAAGAAAAACCATTGCGAAAAAATCGCGATAGTTCCCCCCTCCCAGCCGCGGCCGCAGCCGCAGCCGCATCCGCGGCCGCGGCCAGGAGAAGGAAAACCACAACAAAATAATCGCACTCGTTTCCACCTCCCAAGCGCGTCGCAGCCGAGGCCGCAGCCGCGGCAAGGAAAAGAAAACCACCGCAACAAAATTTGCGATAGTTTCCCCAGTTTTTTTTGGAGATTCCGGAAATTCGTTTTGAGAGCCGGTATTTTTCCCACCTATGGTGGGTCATGCCACGTCTGCCAGAAAATTTCTCAGGTCCATAGCTGCAGTATTACCATCAAAGCACTTCAAGGAACCGACTTTGTATGAAAACAGAAAACGTTGTTTCGAGTTTTCAGCTCACGCTTAAGGGCGCTCCTTCCCTGTGTTCCGAGCAGATCCGCACGAGAAGATAGCTCTACGAGGCTCCCGTCGGTAACCTGGTTGACGGTTTACCGCCGGCACCCAGTGCTGTGCTGTGCTGTGCTGTGCTCTGCTATGCTCTGCTATGCTATGCTGTGCCATGCTATGCTACGCTGTGCTGTGCTGTTCTGTGCTGTGCTGTGCTATGCTCTGCTACGCTACGTTACGCTACGCTTGCTGCGCTATGTTATGCTATGCTGTGTTATGCTTGGCTATGTTGTGATATGCTATGCTATGCTGTGCTCTGCTATTCTAAAGCTCAGCGAAGCTAAGATGAAGGTAAGCTTAGCTAAGATAAACCTGAGCCAAGATGAGGCTAAGCTAAGCTAGGATGAAATAAGTTAAACCCAGATGGTATAAACAATGTCATACTGGGAGAACCGTGGAGCTCTACGAGGTACTCAGGCTGTGGGCAAGCGATCTGAGATGCACGCCGAGCGACGAGAATCCCTTGTCGAGCTCTTCGGCATCGATCAACGAGGAATTCCGGCGCGGGGTGCAGATAGTCTCTCGTAGAGTCTTCGGCACCTATGAGCTAGAGCAATTCCGGCGCGGGGTGCAGTTAGTGATTCGTAGAGCTTCTCTAAGAGCGTCAGCGGCGAAGCTAGGAGAGTAATTCCGGCGCGCTGGGGGGCTAGTTGGCAACAAAAATCTCGACGGAAGGTTTTCATAAGTTTGAATTCGATTTCTCGGAGTTCAACGGATCATTAGAGCCCTAGTATTTTGTCTTCTCATATCCGATTTCACTCCCAATCGCCGTCCAAATCTCAGGTCGATCGGGTGCATATTACTGCCAAAAAAAGCACTCAGGCGGGATCGGCTGTTATGTGTCATCTTGGCAGCTGCTGTTGGTTTACTGCACTTAACTCGATGTGCAGTAGTGCTACAGAGCTGGTAGTCACAACAAATCGATCTGGAATCGTCGGGCGCGTGCGTATCAAGCAACTAGATGTCTGAACTCGGTCTGCTACCAGAGCTAGGTCTGCAATGCTATTCGTACTCTACTAATTTTTTGGAGATGATAATGAGTTTCTTGACTTAAGTCGAGCTGCGTATCAGCTACAGAGCGGTTCGGCACAACGAGCGGAATGACATCATCATGCGTGCTAATTTAAAGTATCTAGACGCCTGAACTCGGTCTTCTATCAGAGCTGGGTCCGAACATCTTCCTCTTCTCCTTTTTTGAGATAGTGCTGGTTTCCTTGACTCAACTCGAACTGGAGATGAGCTACACAGCTGTTCCGCACAGAAATTGGAAGGACATGATCAGGCGCGCTAGTTCGAAGTGTTCAGACGCCTGAACTCGGTCTGCTATCAGCGCTGGGGCTGAACAAATATTTGTACTCTGTTTTTTTTGGAGATGGTGATGTTTTTCTTGACTTAACTCGAGCTGCAGATAAGCTACAGAGCTGTTCGGCGCAGCAATCGAAATATAATCATCAGGCGCGCTAGTCATAAGTATCTAGACGCCTGAACTCGGTCTGCTATCTTGGCTGGGCAAATATATTCGTACTCTGCTACTTAGCTGGAGATGGTGATGGTTTTCTCGACTTAACTCGAGCTGCACATGAGCTACACAGCTGTTCGGCATATCAAACGTACGGTTCAGGCGCGCTAGTCTGAAGTATCTAGACGCCTGAAGTCGGTTTGCTATCAGCGCTGGGGCCGAACAACTATTTGTACTCTGCTATTTTCCTGGAGATGGTATTGGTTTTCTGGACTTAACTCGAGCTGCAGAAGAGCTACAGAGCTGTTCGGCAGAACAATCGGGAGGCAATCATCAGGCGCGCTAGTTTAAATATCCAGACGCCGGAACTCGGTTTGCTATCAGCGCTGGGATCGACAAACTATTTGTACTCTATTCATTTTTTAGAGATGGTGATGGTTTTCTGGAGTAGGCTGGAGCTGCAGACGAGCTAAAGAACTGTTTGGCACAGCAATCGGCACGACATCTTCAGGCGCGCTCGTCTAAAATATCTTGACGCCTGAACTCGGTCTGCTATAGGAGCTGGGTTCGAACAACTATTCGTATTCTGCTCAATTGTCAGAGATGGTGATGGTTTTCTTGGCTTGACTCCAGCTGCAGATGAGCTACAGAGCTGTTTGTCACATAAGTCGAGAGGAAATCATTAGAAGCGCTAGTCTAAAGTATCTAGACGCCTGAATTCGGTCTGCTACCAGAGCTGGGTTAGAACAACTAGTCGTACTCTGCTAAATTTTAAAAAGGTGATGGTCGTTTTCTTGAGCTAACTCGAGCTGCAGAGGAGCTACAGAGCTGTTTGGCACAGAATCGGAATACATTTATCATGCGCGCTTTTTCAAGTATCCAGATGCCCGAACTCGTCATGCTTTCTGAGTTGGAACCAGAAAACTGTTCGTACTCTACTAGAATTTTCCAGAGATGCTTTCTCCTCGCTGCTCTTCTCCTCCACGCCCCCCTCCATGAGACTGCGCCCTCGCACGCGCAATGCGAGATTGCCGCGCCCGCATTGCACGAGGAAGCTCTACGAGTTCCCGGCGGTGACCAAGGTTGACGGCTTACCGCCGGCTCCCAGTTGGCCCACCCGGCCTGGGCGGACAATGTGACCACCTGGGGTCGGTTTTTGGAAGATTCTGAGAGATTTGAAAATTCGTTTTGGGAAAACAGATTTTCACACGGAGCATCGGCGCATCAGCTTCATTCTGAGAGAAGATCAGCTCTCTTGCGGGAATTTGACTATTGGCTCACTTCTAGCAACCGACATTATGTTACAAAAAATATGCAATTTCGGAGTTGTACGAAAATGCTCTCAGGAACACTCTGCTTCGATTCTGAGTACTTCTGCGAGTGCCAGGAGCTCTACTGCCGCGTCTGAATTATCAGGTCCGTAGCTGCAGCATTACTGTCAGAAGACGTGGAGAAACCGACTCTGTATAAACCCATGATATCCTGTTGCGAGTTGTCGCGCTGAGTTCTGAGAAATCGTCATTCTGATAATGCGAGCACTCATTGGCGTAAAAAGAGCTCTACGAGGGTCCCGTCGGTAACCTGGTTGACGGCTTACCGCCAGCTGCCAGTTGGCCGACCCAGCAACCTGGGGTCGGTTTTTTGGAAATTGAGAGATTTCAGCATTGTTTTTGAAGACCGGTATGTTTCGCACATGTAGTGGGTTATGCCGCGTCTGCCTGTCAATTCTCAAGTCCGTAGCGGCAGTATTACTTTCAAAATACTTGGGGGAACCAACTTTCGATGAACATCTAAGATTTTGTGTCGAGTTTTTTCTGCACGCGCTGGAGAAGGCTTCCTCCATGTGTTCCGAGCAGCGCCGCGCCAGAAGAGAGCTCTACGAGGCTCCTGGCGGTAACCTGGTTGAGTCTCCCGGCTCAAGTCTCCCGGCTCAAGGCTCTAAGAGAGCTCTACCCCGGCTCAAGTCTCCCTGCTCAAGGCGTCTCTGCCTGAGTAACCTCCAGACGTTCTAGCGGGCCACAGCCTCGGGGAGTGAGACTGGACGAAGGGCCGCGAGGCCTGGGCGATCCTGGGATCCCCCGAGGCTTTCTGCCGGCATACATAACCCCTGTGTGTCTTGTACGCTGAATTGTATTGGATTGTTGATTGTGATTGCCTCGCGTGGTCATTTTGATTGTTGATTGTGATTGCCTCGAGTGGGCATTCAGTGCATCCTTTTCCAGTGCATAGTCATTCAGTTTGATCGTTGTCTTTGATTATTGCTTGTGATTCGGCAGTGTTGCCTTCTGTCCATAATCATGGTGCATGTTCGGAGTTGGCAGACACGGATCGCTCGTCGTGCACGCGCAGCGGAACAGAAAGTTGTTGCTCCCACGCGGTATCCCATCTCGTTGCAAAGCTTGGTTCTCATGTCGCGCACGACAGATGTGCTGCTGGAGTACTTCGCCACCCCCGTGGAGCCCTTGCCAATTCTTGCCGAAGTCCCTGGAGACACGTTGCAGCCAGCATATGTTTCTATGGTTCTTTCGAAAACATGTGAGGAAGTGGGTGCTTCCACGGATTCTTCAATAGATTCCCCAACAGTTTCTTCAATGAATCTTTCTCCCACAGGTGCGGAGGTGGACGCCTTCGCGGATCCCCCAACCGTTTCTTCAATGGATGTTGGCGTGCAAACTCAGTTCACTTGCAAGGACGCCTGTGTGCAAACTCAGTTCACTTCAATGGATGCTGGCGTGCAAACTCAGTTCATTTTAAAGGACGCCTTTGTGCAAACTCAGTTCACTTTCCAGGACGCAGTCAAAACATGGATTGACAGGAGCACTGCCCAGAAGGGGTTCACCGGCCAGATTGCGCTGCAGTATTTAATCCAGGGGCTTGAATTATTCGTAGACCTCATGACAGAGCCAATGACCATCCCAAAACATCATGTATCATTCTGGTTCCATACTTTGTTCAACCTCACGGATCATGTTCAGTCGTTTCTGGGAGAACTTTTGGATTGTCTCAAATCTCACCGTTTCGTGACGGGTAAAATGGACCGTGCCGAGGAGGCCCGGTTTAAAGCTCCAGGGTACATTGTCGATTGTTTCAGGTTTTGTGCCAGACGGACTCTCCGAGAGTGCCAGTCGTACAGACCCGCGGAGACTCGCAGCAGACATCCGGAGACTACAGCAAATGTGGGAGCCCCAAGAGCTCAGAATTACGTCGCCACGTGGGCGAATTGCCTCTCCGTCGGGGTCGTCGTCTGTCCGTGTCGCTTCGGATGTGATAGCCAAGACTGGACATCAAAAGCCGGTTCCCGAATCTCCCCAAAGCATTCGACTTTCTCCCGATTACGGTGGGAGCTCTAGAGGTAGCCGCAAAGGCAGAGGCAAAGGCAAACGATAGGGCAGCTTTGTACATGATTTGTGTGCCCATCTCCCATCTCCCTGTACATCCCGCTTGTCATTGTCGGCCTCTCATTTCCATTTCTTGTTTTGTTTTGGTGGTGGCAACTCGTATTGTATCTTCGCCTCTCAGGATAGTATTGCATATTCCTTCTTGCATGAGACATTCAGTTATCCGAGAGTTACTTTTCTTCGCCTCGAGTGGAGTTCAGAATTCATTGTACTTCAGTATCTTTGCGATATCCAATCCACGTGATTATGCACGTGAAATTGCCCGCTCGGGCAACGACATATTTCAGGAGTGTATAGGGCAGGAGCCCCACTTCTTTTATCATGATATCATTGCGTCCTCCTTCTTTGCATCAGACATTCAGCTATCCGAGAGTTACTTTTCCTTCGCCTCGAGTGGACTTCAGTCTTGTACTGATGAGTATTGTACGCTAATTCGTTCTTCGCTGCCTAGAGTGGTGCTCGTAAGTCTCGGTTCTTTCAGATCTGCCTTGAGTGGATTGCATATTGTTCAATTTGGTTTGCATGATCATGACGTAGCCAGGTCCGCCTGGCACCCCTTCAGTCTGAAGTGTTAGTTTCGCCTCATCAGTGTTCTCACTGTTGGAGGGTTGTCTGTGACAGATATTGAGTTAGCAGCGGCGGAGCGTATATGTGATGTGCTCCCACAGGTTGTGCAGAACTTCTTTGTTCATTCGCATTGATAAGTCGCACTTTATTCCTTCTCATTCATCTTCTTCTTGTATAATCTAACTGCTCCGCTGTTTTGTTTGTTTTTTGTTTGTTCTTCCGTGTGCTTGCGATTGATTGTGTCATTGCATGCTTTTGGTTTTCTTTATTCCTACAGTTTCGCTGTTGTGAAATAAGAGCTGACTGCTTGCGTGACGAATAAGAGGCTCTGTTTCGCCTGAGACTTTGTAGGACCTGGCCTCAGTGGCCAAGACGGTCCCAGCAAAGACGCAACACAAAAAAACCTGGTTGATGGTATACCGCCGGCTCCCAGATTCGAAACGCTGTTCTGAATCTAGATGCCTGAGATCGGTCTGCCACACTTTTCAGAGACGGCTTTGTTTTTCTTCATTCGGAAAGCGGGCCAGCTAGAGAGCAGGTTTCTTCGGTTCTTGCAAGACTCAGAGATTCGACAAGTTCGTTCTTGAATCCAACACTCCTATACTGAACATTGACTCACGCTGCGTCTGCTGGTGAAAGTCCTCGGGCTGCAGGCAAGATTCGATATACTTGCAGAGGCCGATCTCCGAAACCCGGCGTTGAAGAAATATTTGTATTTGCAACTCTTCTTGAAATTGGTAGTGCTCAGCAACTATCACATCTTGCTGCTGTAATACTCAGAAATGACTTCTGGAGCTTCCCTAGGAGCGAAACGGCGAAGAGAGAGTAATCCCGGCGCGCTGGGGAACTAGTTGGCACTGACAAATCTCGACGGATGTTCTGCATAATTTCAGTCGTTTGAAAACATGTTCTCGAAATTGAACTATTCGTTGGAGCTCTTAGTAAAGTTTCCTCCCATATTCGATGTCATTCCCGCTCGCCGTCTCAATCCAATCGGTAGATATTAATGTGAAAACGCACTCAGGCGGGATCGGCTATTGAGTGTGATATTGGGAGGTGCTGTCGGCTTCTTAATTATCTCGAGCTACTGATGAGCTTCGGATCTGTTCGGCAGCAATAAGGGAATCATGAGGTGATGATTTTCTTAACTGGGAACCGGCGGTAAACGTTAACCAGGTTACCGCTGGGGCCCTCATAGCTCTAGACACCGCATAGTAGAACAGAGAAGGCGACCAGAGAGATTACTTCAATATCAGCTTAACTGGAAAAATCTATCAATGTTGATTGCCAAGTGTTTTGATAGTGACACTACAGCTACTAGGCCTAACACTTTGACAGGGTATAACTCAAGTTCGGCGCAACTAACACTGAAGATGTGTAGCTTGCGTCCTGCTAAAGTTGAATGCGTAAGACCAGCATAATCTTGAGAAACGCATCCCGACGGCCGACGGTTTGACGGTTCCTTCACGTCTTTCGAAGTAATATCGCAGCTACTGACCTGGGAATATGGCGGGCAGACGCGGCATGACCCACCACGCGTAAGGAAAAACTGGTTCTAAGAGCAAACTTTGACATATCTCAGAATGTCCGAAAGAAACGATACGCAAGCATTGATTTTCGGGTGAGCGTCGTTCCTAGACGTCTTTGAACAATAATATTGCAGCTGCAGACTGAGAGTTTTACAGACAGACGCGGCATAACCCACTTCACGTAAGAGAATATTGGCTCTGAAAAGGAAGTTCCCAAATATTTCAGAATGTCCGTGGAACCGAGCCAATGTTGCCGCATTGTCCGCCCGAGCCGAGTGGGCCAACTAGGTCCGCCCCGCGCCGGAATTCCTCTAGCTGCCAAGTTGTACAGGTGAAGAGGAAACCTGAGCTGCGTAGTCGCTTCGTCCTTGCATTAAGGTCACGAAACCATTATCAGCCGGGAAAATGAATCCGCACGGACGATGCTTCCCCCGAGTTTTCAAGAGCTGCACTGAGCTACAGCCCTGAGACTTTCACCACGAAGCGCGTCATGATCGACCGCAAGGAATAAAATCGAAGTTCCGAAAACGAACTTTGAAATCTTTCGCAATCTTCAAAACACTGACCCCAGGTTCACAGACTGGGAGCCGGCGGTAAGCCGTCAACCTTGGTTACCGCCGGGAACTCGAGAGCTTCCTTGCCTGCTAAATGAATGGTGCGGGCGCGGCAATCTCGCATTCCGCTCGCGCGAGGGCGCGGTTTCATGGGGGAGGACGTAGAGGAGAAGAAGGAGTCAGGAGGAGAAACTAGGTGGGGGAGGAGAAGGAGGATGGGGGGGGGGTAGGAGGAGGAGAAGGGGGGGGAGAAGAGGGGGATGACGAGCAGGAAGGGAAGAGCGGAGGGGGAGAAGGGGGGCGATGATGATAATGGGGGAGAAGGAGGAAGAGAAGGAGGAGAGGGAGAAAGAGGAGAAGGGACAGATGGAGGAAGAGAAGGAGGAGGAGGAGAAGGAGGAGGAGGGGGAGGAGGGGGAGGAGGAGAAAGAGGAGACAGAGGAAGAGATGGAAGAGACGAACGAGGACGGGGGGGAGAGAACGAGAAGTGGTAGGAGGAGGAGGAGAAGGAGGAGGAGAAGGAAGAAAGAGGGGGGGGGGAAGGAGGAGAAGCAGCAGGCAACAGCTAAACTTATTGAATACAGACAATATAGTATATCTCTACCAAATATTGCAGAGTGCTTAGTTGTAGCTCTGGTAGCAGACCAATCTTAGACAGGCGACTGTCTGGTGATTTCCTGTTGAGCAGTGTGCCCCCTAGCTCCCCAGCCTGCTTTAAATAAGAAAATCCACCGCCGTCGTATAACAAGCAAATAATGGAGATAATTATTGGGTTGCAGCCTTCGTAGCAGATCGATCTCAGGCGTCTAGTGTGTAGACTGGTGGTTCGCAGCATTCCCTGTCGATAAGCGTGCGTGCCAGTTTGAGCTGGCCTAGATCTCGATACAGTGCGACTAGTTTTCCAGCCTTTAGCTATAGTTGCAGCTCGAATTCAGACGTCTCGATACCGTGGGCAAATGTACCAAGTGCTCCCTGGCTCCAACCACGCAGTGTCCCGTCCCGGCCACGCATGCACCTTCCAGTTGGCCCAGCTGGCTACGGGTGCCGTTCGGAGAGTGGACCTGCCAACAGCAGCCCAAACCTAGGACTTAGCAGCGCTGCAACTCCGCGGAGGGGTACTACGCGCTCCTCGTCGCCACGGCTACGCGCTCCCCTTGGGCATCGGCCGTTCCCTGGCCCCTCCCCCTCCCCTTCCCTTCGCGCTCTCTTGAGGCGGCCTTCCGCCGCGTCTGGTCTTGCGTCTGGCGTAATGATCACAGCCCTGGCTAGTCGCTCACACTTCCCCACCCTGGCAGAAGGCAGCACGTTCAGGCCGCGTCGCAGCGTACTGGGCGCGAGCAGGCTCCCCACTTGTCGCCGTGGCAGCATTGGAAATGTGCGCCTTCGAGACGCGTGGAGCAGCGAGGCGCAGCCCTGGCCATCGCGCGGGCGCGGTAAAGCGCAGCAGGCGGCATGCGACTGCGACGGCATTCCAGCCCGCCACCCAGACGCAAGCTCCATGTTCCCGAGGACAGGGAGAGGCTGCCAGTTCGCTCAGTCGAAGCTGCTGGGGGCCCGCCTCTCTGCTTGCGCTGGACAGACCTGGGGTGCGCTACTTTCCCCGAGGGTTGGGGCCACGGTCGCCAGTGGTTCAGCCTCGGCCTCTCCCGTGGCATGACCGCGCTGCGACTGCGCCTTCAGCTGCAGTGTCGGCGCCCGCCCTCCAGCCGTCTCAGACCGGCTGGCGCGTCATTCCCTCGCGCGCCCGGGCATGCTCCCGTGCCGGGGCAGCCCCCCCGCGGTCAGGCACCCGGTTCCCTCGCCGGTGAGGTGATGTCAGTTCCCATCTGCCCTGGCCTCCCCGTCCCGAGGAAATCATCGCGTATTCCCTTCTGCGTGGCGTCCTCGACCCACGCCCCCAGGCCAGTACCGGCGTGTGCGTCGAGGTCCTACAGCGCACTTGGTGATCTGCTCCCATGGTACCCGCAACGGGTCCGAGAGTGTTTGCACCCCTCCGGCTCTGTACTCCTGTCTGCTGGCTTGGCGGGCGTGGGTTTTAGTTTATCAGGCGGTGCAGCCCTCTGGTCTGACGCATGATCTGTGATTCTACACCCCGGACATCGACGCTTCCTGGCGTGCAGGTTCAGTCCACCCTGGTGCTCCATCTGGGTCTCGCACGTTTGCAGCTTGCAGCCCTAGCAGCTTGCAGTCCCCACCCCTGGTGCCCCAGCTCAGCTTCAGGCAGCTCCCGCCCGGCGGGTAGGTTCTGATCGCGCGCTCGGTATCGCGCCGTTGCTTGCTCTTGGCTGTATAATTAGGCTCGCGCGTAGCCCGCCCGACCTTCGGACACCTCCTGCGCTTTCGCTTGCGGCCGCGACATAAAAAAGTGTTCCCACCAGCCTCGCGCAGTCCCGTCAGCTTAGGTGCTGCTTAGGCCGCCGTTTAGTTGGCGCATCAGGCAATTAGGTTCGCGCGTAGCCCGCCCGACCCTTGACGCTGCTCGCGCGCTCGCACGCGGCCGCGACGAGCAAATATTCCCACAGGCCCATCCAGGAACGATGCCCAGGAGAGCTGACGGGAGGAGGGGGGGAGAGACGCACATAGTGAAACAGCGCGGGCAACAACGGTGAATTGGGAGATCTTGTAGCGAAGGGTGTTGGTGCTGCTGCTGGTGCTGTTGCCTCTGCTGGTACTGCTGCTGCTGCTGCTGCTGCCGGTGTTGCCGGTTCTCGTGCTGCTGGTGTTGCTGGTGCCGCTGGTGTTGCTGCTAGGGCTGGTGGTGGTGCTGCTGCTCCTGCTGGTGCTGCCGCTGCTGCTAGTGCTGTTTGTGGTGGTTGTGGTGCTGCTGCTGCTGCTGGTGCTGCTGCTGGTGCTGCCGGTGATAGTGGAAGCAGGCTGTGTAACAATCGCCTCGGACGCGTTTTCTTGGAGGTCTCTTGGAGCCATCTTGGGGGTCTCTTGGGGTTCTTTTGGGGGCCCTCTGAGGTCATTCTTGGGTTTCTTTTTGGGTGTCTTGCGGCCCTCTTGGGGTTCTTTGTGGGGGCCTGGGAGGCCTCCTGGGGCCGTCTTGGCCACCGTTTGTTCAAAAAGAGGGATGTCCCCAATTCAGGTCCTTTCCCTCGGAGGCTTAAGCAGGGCGTCTTGGGACCCTCTTTGGCCGCTCTTTGGGCGCTCTTGGGCGCTCTTGGGGCCGTCTTGGGGCCCTCTTCAGCCCCTCTTGGGGTTTTCTTGGGCTACCTCGGGCCCATCTTGAGACTTCAAGAGCCCGCCGGAAGGGAAACAGCGACAAGGTTCGAGAATCACATTGTAGTTTCAAGCGCTGTCGGCTATTTGGTGCCAGACAATTGCAGACGATAGCAGACGAGAGCAGACCATTGAAGACGATAGCAGACGATAGAAGACGATAGCAGACGATTGCACCCAAGTGCCTTGTTGCCTCCTCTTTGCCCCTTGCGGTTCCTGCTGGCCCCGCAGCTGGTTTCGTGCTATCGTCAGTTTGCGTCTGCAGCGGGTCCTGGCAGCTCCCAGCTGGTCCTATCGTCTGCTGTCGTCCGCTATCGTCTGCTGCAGACGATAGCCGACGCCAGCCACCCCCGGCGGCCCCTATCAGATCCCATCTTCTGCTTATCTCTGCACCGTTCTGCAGCGGGCCTTGGCAGCCCCTAGTTAGCCCTATCGTCTGCTATCGTCTGCTATCGTCTGCTGCAGACGGTAGTATACGACAGCCACCCCTGGCGGCCCCTATCATATCCTATCGTTTGCTATCGTCTGCAATCGTCTGCACCGGTTCTTGGCGTCCTCCAGCTGGACCTATCGTCTGCTATCGTCTGCAATCGTCTGCAGCGGTTCCTGGCGGCCGCTAGCCTGTCGCATCGTCTGCTATCCTCTGCTGCAGACGATGGCAGACGGTTGCCACCAGAGGCCCTCATGCGTCTATAGGACCCTGCAGTCGATGCCCTTCAAGCAACGATTCCCAGGCGAATTATCTTGATCAGGGAGAGGATGGGAAGTCGAGCGAGGAGGTGGAAAGAGGATGAGGAAAAGGAGGCAAACGAGGGGGTGGAGGAGGCCGAACGGAATTGGGCAGCCGGAAGAGGATGAGTACGATAATGAGATGGGGGAGGAGAAGTGGAGTGTGAGTGTATATGGGTGTGCGCCTGAGTGTGAGTGTGTATGAGCTAAAGCTTATAGGAGTGTGAATGGTCTGTTTGTGAATGGGTCTGGGTGCGTCGCTGCCCATCCGGCAACGATGCCCAGGCGAAGGATCTTGATCAGGGAGAGAATGGGGAGGGGAGCGAGGAGGGGGAACGAGGATGAGGAGAAGGAGGAAAACGAGGGGGAGGAGGAGAGCGAACGGAATTGGGCAGCGGGAGGAGGATGAGGAGTGCGAGAATGAGAGGGCGGAGGAGAAGTGGAGTGTGCGTGTATATGAGTGCGCGCCTGAGTGTGACTGTGTATGAGCTTATGCTTCTTCATCCCCAGACCGAAAGTTTTTCCTATTGGATTAACATATGAGAAATGGGGGAACACCAGTGGATCCAATTGGATCCCTTTTCGGGTGTGGGAGTGTTTCGTGGATCCTAGTTCTGTGTTGCGCGGATCCAATTTCCTGTGGGTGAAGAATCGATGGATCCACATTTCCCCGGAATACATCGATAATGATAATTCACATCCAGGGCCCAGGGGAAATGCGATCCCCGGAGCATCGCAAGTGAAGCATCATGCTATCCACGGAGCTGTGGATCTGCAGACCACTGCTATGATTCTGCGGGGGAGGGGGGTCTTCCCAGGATGAAGAGGGGAAGGTTGAGGGAAGAGGCAAGAGGAGGTGGGAGGATAACAGAAGGGATCGGCGCGTCGCTTCCGACATGTTGGACTCAAGAGGGAAATCTTTCCGCCTGCGTGAGTAGGAGTGTGAGTGGTCTGTGTTTGAAAAGGTCTGTGTGCTATTGAGTTTGATTGTGCTTGAGTCTGGGTGTGAGTGAGTCTGAGTGCGGATGAGTCTGAGTATGAGTTATGAGTGAGTGCGAGTGTGGGGGAGTCGGAGTGTGAGTGCAGGTCCAGCCTTGAATCTAGAGTTTGAGTGCGTCCCAGACCGAGTTCCAGCGGTCCCAGGGCCCGAAAACAGTTTCCAAAGGTCCTCACAGGACTCGCCAGGCTCACCAGACTCACCAGACTCACCGGACCCGCCAGCGCCAGCGGAGGGGGCACCGGACTCACAGGACCCGCCGGACCCACCGGAGTCGCCGGACTCACCGGACTCCCCGGACCCGCCGGACTCACCGGACTCGCCAGACCCGCCGGACCCGCCGGATCCGACAGCAGCGCCGGATCCGGCCGGGCCCACCGGACTGGGGCAGCAGGGTGCACCATCCTCAGTTCCGCTTAGGGGGCATCTGTCTGAAGCGATGCGGGATCCGTGGTGCAACCCGTTGAAGAATGCGAATGCGGATCGACAGTTTGAGCGGGGCGATGCAAAGGCGCATGTCGTTATCAATCGACGTGATGCTATTCACGTTGCCGTTCAATTCATTCTTGAGTACTTGGCCACACCAGGAGCTGCAATGCGACTGGAGACGGATGTGGTTCACGATGTGCCGCCAGTACTGACCGAACTCATCATAGAGTGTGGGATGAACCCAGCACTAGGGTCCCCACGCATCGGCAATTTGAACGAACCCTTCTGGCCACTCGTGAAGTGGTACTCTCGTTCATGGGAGACGGACTTCATGTTGCTTTTCCAGGCCGCGAAGTGCAGCGACCTACGATCGCGGGAGGTATTGCCCCCAGTTCTAGGTTGACCGACGCCTTTGCGCTGGACAGCCGGGTCAGGTCGACGATTAAATCGTCAGATTTGCTAGAGACGTGGGCCGAAGTTTTAGGCAGCGAGGTTCGTGGTGCAGTCCGACGTTGCTGTGTTGACATGCAATGTGCCATAGAATTCAGGAACGCAATCTCGTGACATCGTTCCCATTA